GCTCTGGCAGGCTCTCTTCTCCCCAGATCCTTAATCTGGGCTGAAACGTCTGTCTGTGACCCTTAGAACAACATCTCAGTGGAATAATGAGGTTGTCTGGAAGGTTGAGAGGTCTTCAGGGAGCTGAGGCTGGATGAGTCCACAGGGCAGACGGCCTATGGGTTCTGCACCCCATTAGGCAGACGGGGTAACCAAGGGCAAGGCTTAAGCCATTTTTCAGGGTGTGCAGGGTGCACAATCACTAAAGAACCAAACAGCAGTCTCCGTGAGGACCGATTCTGCCCCCCCCAGGGGACACTGGGCAATGCCTGGGGACATGGTGGTGGTGAGAGGGGTACACCTGGCACCTAGCCAGTAGAGGCCACAGACGCTGCTGAGCATCCTGCAACACGCAGGACAGGCCCTCCCAACATGGAATGATCCAGGCCAAAATGTCAAGAGTGCCAAGGTTGAGAAATCCTGGACCAACCCCAAATCTGGGACTGTTTCTCATCAGAATCCAGGCCCACCCTGGTTCACTGGTGGGACCTGGGAAGCAGTGTTTTTCAAAAGCTTTCTGGGAGATCCTGATGTGCAGCTGGGATGGGAACCCTGCTCCAGGCCCCTTAAAATGCCCTGCAAAGGGCTTTTTCCGAGTGGCCATTGGGATGGCCTGGACGCAGATGGAACCCTACGAGGGCTGAATGTGACCATCATGTGGTTTCACTGGGTCGCTGGTCTCTGTGAGACAGCCCAGATGAGACCTGCCCCGCAAAGCCGCTTGGCCCACCTGATAATTGTCATAAAAGCTATGGAAAGTCTGTGGGTAGTAGGAACACGAATCTGAATTTGATGAGGGAGAGGGGAGGGGTTCAGCGCAAGGAAATTCATGCTGATTTAAAATATAATTTCACTTCCATTTTTCTCCTTCAGTCTCTTTCTCATAGCTAGGTATACTATAAAATCGAAGGACAGGCTGGGCGCAGTGACTCACGCCTGTAATCCCAGCACTTCAGGAGGCTGAGGCAGGAGAGTTGCTTCAACCTGGGAGGCAGAGGTTGCAGTGAGCTGAGGTCATGTCACTGCACTCCAGCCTGGGTGATGGAGTGGGACTCCGTTTAAAAAAAAAAAAAAAAAGCACAGTCTGCACAGTCTTATCTCTTCCTAAATCCAGTTTATCTTCTTTGCTCTTGATTTAGGAAGTGGATGAATGGGTTATTTTATATTACGTTTCCTTCAAAAACTAAGTTAGTTTGCTTTTTATTTGTGGAGGCCCTTCATTGATTTCTTTTCCTGTGGTTCAATGACCCTCAAGTAGAAAGACATCTCTTCCTCTAGTTTAGATGGTGTCTAGTTTGTCAATTCATTTGTTCACTTCCAGGCTTCATTTAGATGCTCACAAGGCGGTTGATGGCTAGTTCTTTCTGGAAACGTACCTGCAGTGATGCCAAGGTTTTTTTGGGGGGATGAAGGCCTTCTTTAATCGGACCTAAATCATCTTCTTGCTCCTTAAGCCTGTGGTCTCGTACCATTCCCCTCCTTCCCCCAAAAGTCGGGGCTGCTGCCTCTCCTGAGGCTGAGGAAGGAAATGACCCTGGAGATGGGATGTGGTTTAGCAGCAGTACCCGTTCCTGGCATAAACAGCTTTCTCTGTGCGCTTCTATATTTAAATCACTTTCCTTTTGAACCACATTACCTGGGGTGTCTGACTGCTGGTGGTGATGTCAGAATTGGTGCTCTGCTATTCTCTCTCGGCGTCCGGTGCTATTTTAAAGCATAATGCAGACCTCTTCTATTTGTTAGATTATTAGCTATAGATCTCTTGAATCACTGCTTCGAAATGGCCCATGCTATGTCGTAAGTCTCCATGTGTCTCCCTCTGGACAAAGAAACATTTCTGTTTCCATTGTATTCTTTAAGAACCAATTTCAGTTGTCAGAATTGACTGAATTCAAGTGTATTTCACCGTCAGCTGCCTCCCTGACTGCTCGAAAGCCGTCAGTTAAAATCCTTCCCAGCGGAGGGCCCTGAGATGAGGGCCACGGAGTGCTTTGCTGGAGCACGGCTGTTTGCACCCGGTGGGTTGCTGAGGTGACTCCCGCACAGGTAGCATTTGGCTCGCCAAATCCCCACCAGATAAACGCCAGGCTCTGTGTGGCTGCTGGCTGCTTGGATAGAAATGATCTTAACTCAGACACAGGGGTAGCCTACATGTCTGCAGGAGCCAGGTTGTGAGCTTTTGGGGGGATTGCTTTTCTTTTGGTGGTCCAGGGGCAATGTTCCCCCTCCCTCTTCTCCATTAAGTGTCCTCAGATGGAGGGAGGGGGCCTCCAGTGGCTAGGATTCCTTCTCGGGGCATCAGGAAGCCTCAGCTTCACTCTTACATGGCTGAACTAGGGGCCTGAGGACGGATGGGCCGACCTGTCCCCTCTCTTGGGCTTAGCGCATGAAAAAGGCCGGTGTCTCCTGCCCTGAACCTGGGAGAAACATCTACTCCTGGGCTATGTGGCTGCCCACTGGAGACCATAAACCCTTTCATGGTCCCTGATGGCCCCTGTAGGGGTGGGGGCACGTCAGACCCAGGCCCCATTCAGGATAAATCAGGCCAGGCATCTGCCCATGTCACTCAAGAGGGTGAGGGTCCTGTTCAGATGGACAGACCCTACTACAAGCCCCTTCCCTCCCTGCCCTGTCCCTGGGTCCAGGTGGATATTATTTGGGAAACTGAGCATCCAGGGCAACGTAAAGAGGAAGGACATCTGAGGGGGACCCGTCTTAGTCATGGGGCAAGAGGAGAGGGACGGTGACGCTCCTGTGCAGACTCTGAGCCTTCCTGCCTCTGCCTCTGGGATGTCCCTCTCTGTCCCACTGCCCTGGCTTCCATCATACTTACACAAAGCTCAGGGATTGCAGCTTTGCTTCCGACTAAGTCAGCAAAGATTCCAATGCCAGGATGATGATCTGGGGTGTTAGGAACTCTGAGGTTGTGCCATTCTCCTTTGTCTCTGCAAATGGCTTATGCTGATTTTAATCTCCTTATTTCTGTAAGACTCAGTGGTTTAAAAATATTAAATGGGGTATTTATTAAAACTGTGGTGAACTCAGCCCTCAGACTTGACTGGGGGATGGAACGGTCTGGCTAAACAAGTGTTCTGGTTAAGGGCATTAGTCACCGTGCAGAACCATGTCTAGTGTGCCAGTTTCGAAGAATTAGAGCAGAAGTCACATTTAGCTCCAAGCTGAACTGGAGTTAATAGGGATCTTTCTTTGATCATTGGAGCAGCTGGTAGCATGAGGGGATGCCTTGGGTTATCACTGAGAATGTATCAGTGTACCAAGTGACAGTCCATGGAGACTTTCATATATTCAAAGATAATTTGTGGATTTGTCCAAAACCAAAGAAACTGGTACCTTAGGGATGCAAGAAAGCCTCTAACTTGCATTGATGCCAGTGTTGTGTTTAGCCTTTTGGTAAAAGAAGTTCTATCAGCTCCTGACAGTGGTTTTCCGGGCTGTGTCTCCTCCCACACCTCTGATTGAAGAATTTTATAGAATGGGCTGGAGAAATCTCCAAGACCTGACCCTGGAGCTCCAGAGCACTACTCTTCCGTGGGAGAAGCCTGGCTTTGGCCTAGGCCTCTGGCATGGACTCCTGAGTGGTGAGGGGAGCCCATGAAATTCCTGGGGTCAGTAGTATCATGCTCTTTCATCCAGTCCCAATTCCTGCACTGAGAGAAGATGGACCAGTAGGGAAAATGGGGCACTAGGCAAAGTGGGCCCTGGGGCAGCCTGCCTCCTTGCCCTAAAGAGGCAGAGCCTGAAAGAAGCAACACTTCACCCAGCCCAAGGGCAGGGGATGGCCTCTCTGTGGGTTCATTTGGACTTTCAGAACACATAGTCTCTCCTATGGGAGAGGCCCCTGCTCTCATTCTGGAGGCATTGGAATTGGTCTTAGATGTTGTACATGGAAGTCCTTCTAAGACTCTTTGGGGGACAGTAGAAAAATTAGACAACTCTTGCCCACTGAGCCTCCAACATTCTAAGACTAAATGGGACCATGAGAAGTCTCCTCCACTGCACCAGCTTCTGGTCTGGCTACCCTCAAACTATGCCATGTCAAAAGCTGGACTCCTTGTGTTCACTTGGGTCAGAACTTTTAGGAGCTGTGTTTACATGCACAATAGAGGGTGTGGGAAGGAACTGGAGAGAAAGGAGGCTCTGGATTCAAGACTTGGGTGGAGAACCTCTATTTGTTAGCTAGTTAGCCTGGGGAAGGCTATGCTCAGTCTCCATGTTCCTACCTGTAGAATGAGAACCACCTGTAGAATAAGAACCACCTGTAGAATAGGATCCACCTGTAGAATAAGAATCTACTCACTGGGTTGTTGTAAAGTAGTTAATTTATTGACTAAAAAGGTGAATGTTAGGGGTAATCATCTGAGTATGAGTCCTGGCTGCTCTGCTCATCACCTGTGTTACCTTGTCAACTATCTCAACCTCTCAGTGGTTCATTTTCTTTATCCGTAAGATTGGAATGATGATAATAGCATGGCCTTCATGGAGGTTTTTGTGAGGATTAGGTGAGCTAACATATGTATGTCATCCCATCACCTTCTGGACTCCATTGATTTGGGGAAAAATTGGCCGTTCATCTTACTAAGGATTCCTCGTATGTGATGAATTGCTTCTTTCTGTTTTTAAGATCCTCTGTCTCTTTCAACAGCTTGATTATCGTGTGTCTAGGTGTGGATCCCTTAGAGTTTATTCTACCTGGAGTTCATTGAGCTTTACAAATTTGTAGATTTTTAATGTTTTTCATCCAATTTGGGAAGCTTTTGGACATTATTTTTCATATACCTTTTTTGTTCCTTTCTCCCTTTCCCTCTCCTTCTGGGACTTCCTTTACATACACTTGATGGTGTCCCATAAGTCTCTGAGGCTCTTGTCATTTTTCTTTCTTTTTTTTTTCTATCTGTTCCTCAGACTAACTAATCTCAAATGACTTATCTTAAAGGTCACTGATTCTTTTACCTGCTCAGATATGCTATTGAGCCCCTCTAGTGAATTTCTCATTTTAGTTATCGTACTTTTCAACTCTAGAATTTCCATTTTGTCCTTAAAAATAATTTGTCTCTTTCTTGATAGTTTCTATTTCATGAGACATCATTTTCATCTTTAATGCTTTTGATTTTTAAAAAAAGTTCTTTGGATATACTTACTATAGCCAATTTAAAGTTTTTGTCTAGTAAGTCCAATATCTGGCTTCCTTAGGGATCTATCGAGCTCTCCCTGCCCTATATATGCCCCATATCATTTTAGTTCTTTGCATATCTTGTGTTTATGTATGTATTTATTTATTTAGAGACAGTCTCGCTGTCCCAGGCTGGAGTGCAGTGGTGTGATCATAGTTCACTGTAGTCTCTAACTCCTGGGATCAAACAATTCCCTCACCTAAGCCTCAGGAGTAGCTAGAATTATAGGCACATGCCACCACTCTTGGCTATTTTGTGGGGTTGGTTTGTTTGTTTGTAGGGACAGGGTCTCTCTGTATTGTCCAGTTTGATCTCAAACCTCTGGCCTCAAGCAATCCTCTTACTTGGCCTCCAAAAGTGCTGGGAACACAGGAGTGAGCCACCACACCCAGCCAGTATTTTTTAAACAATATAATGTGGCAACTCTGGAAATCAGTTGTTCCCCCTTCTTGAGGATTTGTTCCTATTGTTTGTTTAGTGACTTTTTGAACTCAGATGGTAAAGTCTGTTTTTTGTCATGTGTGACCACTGAAATCCCTGTTCAATTAGCTTAGTGACCAATTAGAAATTTCCTAAAATGCTTGGCAACAATGACTGCCCCAGTCTTTACTGAGGGGCTCTGTGCATATGACTCACACTCAGGTAAGCCACCCACACCTCTGCCTTAGCTTTCACTTTCTGCTTGAACAGAGCCTTAAGATAAGGCAGAGAGTGCTTAGGGCCTTCTTAGGTCTTTCTTGAGTGTGCACATAGCCTTGTGCATGCGTGTGACCTCCTAGATTCCCAGGAATTTGTTGGAGCTTTTCAAAGCAACCTATGGACATCTCAGTCTCCAGTTTTTTGGTTAGCCTGTTGTTTTCCCAACTGTTATCTACTGCCTCAGACAGCCATGATGTTAAGCAATCATCTCTAATTATTTTCCACAAATATCCCCAGGGAGAAAGACTCTTTGCACCGGATGAGCTCAGAGTCAGGTCAAACAGAAACAGCTTCTCAAGTGGGGCTTTTCAGGGAATCACCAGACAGGTCAAATCATGACAATGCTCTGGGAATGGGCCTTTGATCCAACCCCATTCTCTGCCCTCCAGAGGCTACTGGGATGCTGATTTTCACTGTGATTATGAACGTTGGTTTGCGAGGTTACCACAGAGCTGGGAAAGGGAATCAGGAATAAGTCAAGTTAAAACACCACAGAACTCACTGGTCCTCCTGAGATTCACCCATTTTTCTTGCTGGACTTTGGTTAATTTCCAGAGTTCTGAAAATGTTGATTCTGACCATTTTCACCAGCCTTCTCATTGCTTTTATGGAGAAGAAGATTTTTGGAAGTTCTTTTTCTCTATCATCTTTTTCGTGATGTCATTCAAAGTTGATACATGTAAAGCATTTACAACAATATTCGGCACATAGGGTTACATGTATGTGCCATTATTATTGTTGTTGTTGTTAATAATAAATGAGAGGCCACATATAAACCCGCTTCCTCCCTCCAGACAAGAGTGGTCCCAGGGGGCACAAGAAGGGCATATGGGGAAGGAGAAAGATGTCCATTTGCAGAGAAAAGAGAGGGAAAAAGGCAGGAACATACTTTGGAAGATGACTGGGGGAAGGTAGTGCTCAGTGTCACAAGTGTGGGAAGTATGGTTCATAGCTGGTTAGTCTAAGAAGGCAAAGAGGTAGATCCTGGTCAGGCTCAAGGCCAAGCAATGCCTGTTGGTCCCCTATAATTGGTCCATCACCTCTCACCAGCCTGTCTCTTCCTTGTGTGGACTCTGCTCACTGCCCAGTCCTCTGCTCTGACTTTAAAAGGCAGATGGTTCCAAGGACGGGTGAACAGGACTGTAACAGCACGTCCCTATGCACGGTCCCTGAAGAAGCTGCCTTGCCCTGCTCTGCCCTGCCCAGGGGAGTTGGCTGGAGGGATTGCCTGTTTATGGGTGTGCTCGGCAGTCGCCAAGGGGCATGGGCATCCGGGCTATGCGATACCCTGCAAGCACATGGCCACACCTGTCACCCTCAGCCCTGGGACTCGGTGTTTCTATAACAGTTGGGCACTTACGAGTCTTCTGGGCATCCAGTGGGCGTGAATGAGGGAGGGGATCTCTGGAGCAAGCAGCAGGGAAGGAAGAGGGAGCAGAGATATGGGAGGATGGGGTGTTGGCTCTTTGGTTCACATGCAGACTGCAAGATCTTTGGGGACTCAGCCCTAGTGTCCTTGAAGGACAGGTTTCAAGGAACACCAAAGTCTGGTAAAAGAGGGAATCATCCTGAAAACCAGGTGGGACATCACACTGACATAACCGTGCTCCACTGCCACCGTGGATGGGCGTCTGTAAACCTGGGAAGGGATCTTATATTGCTGAGAGTCAGTCCCATATTTTATAGAGGAAGAAGCAGAGGCTGAGATGATCTTTGTCCTCGCTGGATGGTCATTTGAGGGTAATGGGCAATGGTGACTAGATCCCTGGCCGCCTGGTCTCCACGTAGCACCCTTTCCTCTAAAGTGCTGTATTTGCTAAGAATCCAGAAGCCTCGGCATTTGCAGAATAGAGGCTAGTCATGCAACTACCAGGTACTCCTGAAAAGGAGCTTACCTTCGACATGTGGTTCGGTCACATGGTAGGAAATCGAGGAATACACTTAAATTACAGGGTGAGGAAATGCTTTGTAACTCTGACAGGGTCTGAGCTAAGGGAGGATGCATAATGGACTGACATCCTGACAAAAGGGCGGGTGGAGGCCAGGCACGGTGGCTCACGCCTGTAATCCCAGCACTTCGGGAGGCCAAGGCAGGTGGATCACCTGAGGTCAGGGGTTCAAGACCAGCCTGGTCAACATGGCAAAACCCCGTCTGTACGGAAAGTACAAAACTTAGATGGGTGTGGCAGCGCATGCCTGTAGTCCCAGCTACTGGGGAAGCCAAGGCAGGAGAATCACTTGAGTCCAGGAGGCGGAAGTTGCAGTGAGCCAAGATTGTACCACTGCATTCCAGCCTGGGCGACAGAGCAAAACTCTGTCTCCAAAAAAAAAAAAAAAAAAAGGTAGGGGCAGGTGGCTCACCCACAGCCACGTCCTGCTTCACAGGCATTCAACCTGTGCAGCTTCTCCAGGCCCAGGGCCCACAAGGGTCCATGTTTGGATTCATGTGCTGCTATCGCTGCCTTGAAATCCTTGGTAATTTGGAGCAAAGAACCCTGCATTTTCATTTTGCACAGGACCCTGCATATTCCATCGCCTGTCCTCTCTCCTCCCCTGCCTTGAGGCCAGGGACAAACCTGCCAGCTCCATGGTTTCTCCCAGCCTGAGGACACAGAGCCACCCAGCATGTCTTTGCAGGGACAGAGTGACCAGATGGAGCCCAGAAGTCCCTGGGCTGGTAGAGCTGCGGTTCCTGTCTTGAGCCTGCCCAGCTCTCTGTTCTGGGTGAAAAGCCCCAAGGTCCAGCCAGACAGAAATAGCTGGGACAAACGCCCTCGTCTTACAACCCAGCCCCAGCCACCAGCACAGCACATGCAATTCAGATCTTCTTCCCTGGGCAGAAAGGGCTGGGCGGCTGCCCTATCTCTAGCCTGAGAAACCTGCCTTCCTTGGCATGGGCAAATTTGTCCGGGGGACGACGGGGAAGGGCGGGAGGTGGGGATCGGGACGGAGGGTGGGTACGTTACCCCCGGGCAGGGTGATGGGCCCGCAGGTCTTGCTGTCGTCCATGGGGATGCGCTTGGTACAAATCCGCCAGAGGCCGAAGTGGGCCGCCTCGCAGGTGGTGTTGTGGTGCTCCATGTGGGGGCTCAGCACAGCCCAGTGGTCAGTTACCACGGCTGTCATGGCCAGCACGATGCCTGCCAGGATGCAGAAGAGGGTCACGCGGACCTTCAGCGTTTTGGTCTGGGACATGGTGGTCGCCGAGGCGTAGGTGCCCTGGGCAGGGTCCGGCGGCTGCGTCTCCTCGGGCAGGTGACAGCCGAGCTGAGGGGTGGCGGTGGTTGTCGAGTTGGGAGTGGCCACTAAGTTTAGTGTGCCTGGCTGAGCCAGAGTGGGCTGGCCTTGGGGCTGAGGGACGCGGGATGTGCTGAGCAGCTGCCCAGACGCGTCAGGGGCCTGAGGAAGGCTGCTATTAATGCCCCTCTCCAGGCGTGGCACCGGGGACGGCTTCTGCTCAGGTTTCAGGGCTGTCTGCCCCTCTGGGAGCCAGAAATACCCCGGTGGGGGGCGGGGTAAGGAGAGAAGGCTCTGGATGGTGGATTGAGGCCTCTATGGAGTAGCAGCTCAGGGTGCCTGAGTTGGGAGGGGGCGAGGGGTGGGCAGCAGGGCCCCAGGGGTGGGGATCTGTCTGCTCTGGGCTGATGGGAAAGGGCACCCCAGGCCAGGGGAGGAGACCAGGAGCTGCAGGCTGCACGGCCGTCCTGGGTTCCCATAGGGTAAGCCTACTACCGGCGGGGCAGTGAGTAGGTTCTCATCCTGGGATCTGGGGGGCCTAGGATTCTGTCTAGGGACATCCCAGGGACCCCGTCCGGGGCCTGTGGAGTCCACCTCTCAGGCAAGCGTTTTAGCCACAAACCCCACAGCATCCCCCAAACCATAGGAAGATTTTAGGTGGTTCCCAGGCCTGGCCTTACCCAACTCTGATCCCTCCACGAGAACATTTCTTCCTTTTCAATTCTCTTTCCATCCCCAAAACTGGGTCCAGAGCAGAGCTCCGTTCGAGGTCAGTGTCATTACTGCCCGTAAAGTGTCCTCTGAAACAAAGCGAGAACGGCCTGAAGAGGACGAGGAATCTTGCTGGACTTGGTTGTTCTGTTTTCAGGGCACTGTGTTTGGTTTTGCCTTCTACTAACAGCAGGTGATAACGATTTTCCGGTTACGTTTTAATTTGCAAAATATGTGTGTGAGTGAAAAAGAACAAATAGGTTGATTTATAGGGGATCATCAGGAGCTCATGGGTGTGCGGATACGGCAGAGAACACAGAAAGCCTGGGATCGACCACCCTCCGAGGGTCCTGTGCACCTGCCTGGCCCCCAGGCCTGTTCCCGAGGCTGCGGCCTCTACGTCTCTCCTGGGTTGTGCCATCTCTCCCTTCTCAGCTCACTGGGTGGCCCTTTTTGGGTGTAGCCGAGAGGCTGATGCACGATCAGGAATAGCCTCCTGAGCTGGGTGGGGCCTTGAACTTCAAAATTCTTGCCTCAGATTGACACGATTTACAGAGACTCTGCCCATGTGGACAGAAACATTTCAGCCTCCATCGTTGGAATGACAGAAAGTTCATGATGATGATAATAGGAGCAGTGGCTCATCTTCAGTGAGTGCTTACTATCTACCAGGCACTCTGCTAAGCCTTCATCCATCATCGCAGTTACTCTTCACACCAAATCCACAAGGGGACTGTGGCTGTTTTTGCCATTTCACAGTAACACAACTGTTACTGCCATTTCACAGACAAGGACATGGACACTCAGAGACGTGAAGTCACTTGTCTAAGGTCACACAGCGGGAAAATGAGGAAGCCAGGTTTCAGGACCCAGAGCCCAAAGTCTTAACCAATGGTTAGAACTGGGAAGAAGCTTGAAGATCTATGGTGACAGATTAGGAATCTGCAGCCCAGAGAGGAGACATGACGAACCAGGACCACCTGGTGAACAGCCCCGAGGCTGAGCTGAACCCTCGTGTCTCCAGCCACAGGCTCGTGCTTATTGCAGTTCCATCCAAACGTTCATATTTTTAAAGTCAGTCTCTCATCCATATTACAATCTCCCGAGAGCTTCTCTCCCCACTGTTCTCATCTCTGCTTCCCTTCCTCCCTGTCCCCCCGCCTCTGTGTTCCCAGTGGGTGCTAATCCATCACAACTGACTGATCACTGACTGACTGTTGACATATGCCGCCGCCCCTGCTTCAGCTCGCGGAGAAACTGCCTGTCACCAGGTGGGTGGACCGTCTCCATGGGGAACTCCCGGAACCTGGGACATGGCCGCAGCCTCTGAGCCCTCTCTTGTTGCTTGTGGGGGCCCAGCTTCAGGATCCTGGCACCTGGGGATCTCAGGGGGTGCTGGACAGCTTGAGCAGACCTACTGAGTGCCAGGCACAAAGCAAAGCAGTAGCTGGGGAGCCAGAATAGGGTTCCAGTGTTTTAGGACAGAATATCTAGAAAGAAGCTATTGAATTTTAGCACTACAAGTAAATACAGAGTCGCTGGAAGAATAAAAGTGTCTTTTGAATTTCCTGGTGTGGTGGGTGTGGGTGCCCTAAGCTCTTCGGTGCCAAGAGCCTCTGACGGCCTTGGAAAGCACCCTGAAAGGGCCCAGCCCACAGGGTGCACCCAGCACCAGCCGTGATGATATTGCAGGCCCTTCAAAGATGCCAGGTCTCGGCGGGGACAGCAACCAGGAACTTCTGCTGCTCTTTCCCTCGGTGGGGGGCAGGTTTGTGCCCCATGCAGGGGTCCAGAGTCCTCCGCCCCAATGCAGTGAAAGCATTAAAGATTGATGGCCTCTGCCTTTTGAAGTCATCTTTGTGTAAGTCGCACCACGAGGCCAGCAGCTGCAGCTACTGCAGGCAGATCCACTTTCTCTCCCCTGTTTACTAAAAGCTCCCTCAAATACACCTTTTCTGCTCACAGAGGCACTGCCGCGCTGCCTGCCTGGTTCCCCAAGAGCCTGGCAGGGCCAGGAAAGGACTTCAGTATCCACAGGCATTTGCTGAGAGTTGGGCAGGGCAACATCCATGTCCTCCCCCTAGATCTCACCCTTTCCAGGGCAGCAGGGAGGAGAGCATCTCAGGGAGGCAGCATGCGAGAGGGGGACCAAGCTAGAGGGTGATGGAGCCGGCCAGCCCTGAGCAAATCCCTGCGCTGCTTGGTTCCAGCTGTGCAGCTTCCAGCAAGTCATTAGCCTTTCTAAGCTGCCCTTTGTAAAATGAAAGCAATGGGCCTGGCTGTGGAGAGGGTAGAAGGACAGGAGGGAGTGCACTGGACCAGCTTAGCCATGGTAGGCACTATGGGCTGCATCATGTTTTCCCCAAGTTCATAGGTTGAAGCCTAACCCCCAATGTGATGGTGTGTGGAGATGGGGTCTTTGGGAGATAATGAAATGAGCTCATGGAGGTGGGGGCCTTGTGATGGGAGTAGTGTCTGTATTAGTCTGTTCTCACACTGC